AAAAAAAAAAAAAAAAAGTGTAATATCTGAAGAAGAGCTTCACAAGTATTAAATGGTAGCTAGATGTTTGCAGCATTATAAAATCAAAAGATTTGAATAAACAAGTTAAAGAAATGAAACTCATTACTCTGTTATTCAGGGTTTTTTTTTTTAGTGTGTGTGTGGGGGGGTGTCAGTTGTGGGGCTGGAACTACGGCCTCGGTGCTGTTCCTGAGCTCTTTTGCTCAAGACTAGGTAGGAAAGTCCATTAGATTCTTATTTCCATTAACCACCATTAATTGGAAGTGGCGCTGTGGTGGTTAATGGAAATAAGAATCTAACGGACTTTCCTACCTGGGTTGGCTTTGAACTGCGATCCTCAAGTCTCAGCCTCCTAAATAGCTACGATTACAGGTGTGAGTCACCAGAGCCCGTCTTTGTCATTCAGTTTGAAAGATCTAGATTTTATGTATGAGAGAGCACGCAATATTTGGCTTTCTTGGTCTGGCTTATTTCACCTGATATGATCTATAGTTCCATCCATTTTCCCGCAAACAACATAATTGTATGCTTTGCATATAATTTTTTTTACAACTACATACTAATTAATCTATCACTAAACTATGGAATCAGCACCTGAGCTGATTCCGTAGGTTAGCTGTTGCATATAATAGGTGTGCAAGTATCTTGATTGTATTATGGCTTAATTTTTTCAGATATAAGCTCAGGAGTGGTAGAGCAGGATCATATTGTAGTTCTGTGAGGAGCCTTTGTACAGATTTCCATAGTGGATGGACTAATTTACATTCCTACCAATCGCTGGCATCCGTCCAACCCCCCCTCCTCACTTGCGTTTGTTATTTTCTTGATAATTGCTATTCTGACTGGGCTGAGATGGAATCTGTGTTATTTTGATTCTCATTGTCTTTATGGCCAAAGATGTTGAAAATTTCTTCTTATACTTATTAGCCATTTTGTAACTTATATAACTTTAAGACCACTAAAGAGCTCAGGTACAATGTTTTACATATAGAAATTATTTGAGAAATGTTTGCTAATTGAAATGGAATTTCTTATGTTGATTTTTGCTAATTTTGTTTGTAAAGGCACACAGACTAAATAGGAATTAATTGTTCCTTATGACTAAATTGGTAAAGAATTTGGTCTTTTATTTAATCATTGTGTTTTATTTAAATTCCTTTTAGATCTCGAGGAAACGCCAAACTTGGTATTTTTGAAGCAGCCATCTTCCTTAGTCAGAGTGCTTGGTCAGAGTGCAGTGTTGCCCTGTGTTGCTTCAGGACTTCCTATTCCAGCTATTAGATGGATGAAAAATGAGGAAGCACTTGATGTAGAAAGGTAAATGCTGTCTGCTAAAACCTCTTTCCAGCCTGATTTGAGACTTACCTAATACTACTTGGGATGATTGGTTAATTAAAAAATGATAGTTTTATTTAAGCACATTACAGTGTTCACATCTCTTTGAAGTATGGTCATATGCTACATATGATGAGAATTTAAGAAAAAAGAGCATGCATTCAAGAGACTAAGATAATACTCCATTTGTTCTCTGTGATGCTTCAATATACTTAGTGTACAGCTCTGGAGTCTCTAAATTTTCGGAAGAGCTTCTGGTCTTGTCTGGTCTGAGCTTTGGCTCTCACTCTCACATGCAAACAGCAAGCAGATGCAGCCTTCATCCTCTCATTTTGCTTTTAGGCTGCATCAGCTATGTTTGTAAGTTCTGAATCTTCTGTAGAAACCTTCTCAGTAAATATCAGCCAACCTGACTGTGTCCCTTCCTCCTCATTTCTTTCTTAATTAATGAATACCTTCTGTAGGTGTGTTCTTATTAGGCAGCTGGGTTGGTCCTATGGTTAGGTATGTTTTTGTTTCCAAATCACATCTGTCTTGTGCTGCACGGATGTTTGCTGGAGTCCCTGGCCTCTCATAGATGCCAAAAGATTCCAAGTTCAAAAACAACAATATCTCTAAAAGTAACTGCAGTTGAGGACCACTCTTCTAGAGCAGTGCTGCCAGTGAAAATATAATGCATGTGTCCTTTTGAAATTGAAGTCTTGTGGTAGCCACATTAAAAAATAATTATAATGTGTATATTACAAAATATAAGTAATTTTATGGGTCCTAGTCTAGGAGGTATTAGTGGAGGCCTTGCTGGGAGCTAGAATGTTGAACTCTTAAGTAGTAATGAGAATCCCGCATTTTCTTTACTGGTCATTGGTAGCTGAATGGGGCCCTGGACTCAGCCTCCCTCTGACAGTAATGAATCAGCTTCCCCATCCACTGCCTACACCAGTGGTGTCAGAAGAAAGCTAAAATAGAGAGTCTAAATAAGATAGGTTTTTCAGTTGAAAATCACTCATGATACCAAGAACCAGGAAAATCCCAACTTAATTGAGAAAAGACAAGAAATGCCAATACTGAGTTGACCAAGTTAATGAATTGTCTCAGTGAGCAATTGACGTTTGCAACACACTCCAAACAAATAAAAAACAAAAAGAAATCCCAACAAAGAAAGAAGGCATTATTGGCATCCAGGGGATCTTGGAATGTATCCCCTTGTCAGTGGAGAACACATGGGACTCTCACTGCTTTTCTTTTTCTTTCCTTTTCCATTTCCATGAGATGTGCCTCTTAACAACATTTGTTATAGCTTGAACTCAGGGCCTCACACTCAGCTTTATTAGCAAATAGATTTCAACAATATGTAGAAGAATTATGTACCATTCTAGAATTTATTGGACAGATGAAAGACTTAAGTATGTTATAATTAATCAGTGTACAGCCCCGTCCTCCCCAATTAGCAAGTTAGTAAAGATACCTTACACAATAATAGTCAGAGGAGGAAAAACATTTGACAAAATTTAACGTGTTCATGACTTCTTAAAATCTAGAAATGTTTAAATCAAAACAACATTAAGATTCCGTTTCACCTCAATTAGATTGGTCAACATTGAGACTGTTTTGTTTTTGTTTTTGTTTTTCGTTGGTCGTCGGGCCTGAACTCTGGGCCTGGGCACTGTCCCTCAGCTCTTCAGCTCAAGGCAAGCACTCTACCATTTGAGCCACAGTGCTGTTTCCAGCTTTTTTGCTTATGTGGTGCTGAGGAATCAAACCCAGGGCCTTATGCAGGCAAGGCAAGCACTCTACCACTGAACCACCTTCCCAGCCCAACATTGAGAATTTGAACAATAAAAAAAATAAACTGCTGGACAGCAATGGCTCGTGCTTATTAGAATACTCTCTTATTTGGAGATTGAGATCTGAGGATCTTAGTTCAAAGGTAGCCCAAGCAGAAAAACCCTTAAGATTCTTAATTCCAGTTAATCCCTAGGTAGACTGTGGCTCAAGTGCCAGCCTTGAGTGAAAAAGCTAAGGGTCAGTGCCCAGGCCCTGAGTTCAAGCAAGTCCAAGTAACACAGAAAAGTAAAAAGTTAAAAACTTAGAAAAATAACTTAATTTCAGAATATCTACAAAAACCTCCATCTAACATTAAGGACCAAGTTAAGCAAGTCCACTGTTACAGTAGCTGAAAATTTTAAACCAGTTTAATAATACAAGACAAAGGAAGGAGTAAAAGAGTCCCTATCTATAGGTAGCATGTTTTCTTTCTCTCCCTCCCTCCCTTCTTTCTTTTTGTTTTGTACTCTACTTTTTTTTTTGGGGGGGGGTCCGGTCGTGGGGCCTGAACTCTGGGCCTGGGGGCTGTCCCTCAGCTCTTCAGCTCAAGGCTAGCACTCTACCACTTGAGCCACAGCGCCACTTCCGGTTTTTTTCTTACGTGGTGCTGAGGAATCGAACCCAGGGCCTTGAGCATGCAAGGCAAGCGCTCTACCACTGAGCTACCTTCCCAGCCCATGTACTCTACTTCTTGAGCTGTGTCTCTAGCCCTTTTTTCTCTGGTTATTATTAGAGATAGGGTCTAGCTGGCCTGGACATCTCTTATTAATTTATGTCAGGTACACTTGTAATACTGGATTTACTGTGTAATTTTCCAAATTAACCTTGTTCACTTTACAAAAATTTGATTAGAATATTAATTTGTGATTGCTTCCATGATGTTACTGGATTCTTTTAGTTGTTTTGTTTTGATTTTTTCATAGACACATCACTCCATAGAGTTGGTTTGGTATTCACCATCCTTGTTTATAGCTGATTTGTACCTAGCACCACACCCAGGGAGCTGTTCTCTGGCAATGTCCTCTCTTCCTTCCCTTGCTTTTTTCCTCTCATTTCTAGCCAAGTCACCATAGGAACCTTTCAGTTGGCACTGTCACCCCTGACTTACTGGTTCTGGTCTGACATTTTACCCTCTTCACTTTTTCTTGGTGTTAGTAATTTTAGTGTAGCATAGTTGTGGTGGAGACAGTCTTTGATGGATTCCAGATTTCAAAAATTACACAATTGCCAGAGAGTTGGCCAGAGAAAGCTGAGTTGGAATTGGTCATAAAAAGTGACAACCCGTTGAGAATCACTACAAGTGCCAGTGGCTGTAACATTTGACATTTGATTTGTCCTCATGATATTTATACATGTAAAATATGAGCAAAGCAAATTCACACTACAATAATTTTATGTTTTTCTCAGTCCATTTGTAGCCACATCATAAATAATGGTGTTTGACTATTTTCTCTATTTTCATGTAGAAAATTTCTTTGTGATGAAATGTTTTGTTTTTTTGTTTTTTGTTGTTTTTTTTTTTAATACAGCTCTGAAAGATTGGCCTTGCTGGCAGGTGGTAGCCTGGAAATCAGTGATATCACTGAGGATGATGCAGGAACGTATTTCTGCATTGCAGACAATGGAAATGAGACAATTGATGCACAGGCAGAGCTTACAGTGCAAGGTATGTCAGAATTTACTGTCTAGTCAAAAAGTCCCAGGTACTCTCTGGGTCTGCTAATTATTCAAAAGTAATGGGAGAGACCGTATAACACAGCAGTTAAAACCCCAACATTTAGACCAAACTGCCTGGGCTCAAATTCTGGTCTTACACCATCTAAATACATGACTGTAGGAAACTTACTGAACCTTTGTGAATCTCATTTTCCATATCTGTAAAATGGAGACAATAAAATTACTCACTTTATTGGAATTGTTTTGAGGATCAATAGCTAGTCCTTATGGAAGACCCAGAATAGCACATAAGCTCAGTGTTAGTTATTGATGTTTTGAGTAGCAGCAACAGCAATTGTAATAGTATGTGGGCAGAGGGTGTGATCTGGGCCATCTGGAAGTTTCTGTTCACTGTTCTTATCTCACGATGCCTTTTCACAAAGACATCTGTTCTCTGACCCAGAACCTTGTCTGTCAGCATTCATGTTTCTTTTTTGGGTTAGTAGATCACCCAGGAAGGGGTGCAGGATATGATTTGGTTTGATGATTTTGTGTTTATTGCTGACCATCACTGCAAGCATAGTTGTCCTTCCCTTTTCCTTATACATTCCCCATTACCTTTACAGGTCCTCTGAGAAAGATGGCATTTACTCACAGCCTCCTCATTATCTCCATCCTTCCACCTTTCCTCCAAATGGAGGGATACCAGGAGAAAGATATTTTCTCTCTCTCCTATGACTTATCTGTTTTGATCTTTGCTTCAAAGACTTGTCCTTAGGACCTTTCCCTTTTGTTCTAGAGAAATCTAACACAGCTCAGATATATAGAAATGTAGGCTGAATTATGGTATTCAACCAGCTTGAGCATGGAATGGAATAGTAGTTCTGCCATACAATGGCATGTTCTGAGCAATGAAAACTGATACACTATGACATTCAACAGAAGCCAGATATAAAAGTAAAACAGTATAATAAAATTTATTAAAGTTCAAACCCAGGAAAAGTAATGACTTGAGTGTTACACATCTAGGCTTCAGGTATATTAATATCATTTCTGAATCTAGATAGTATTTACAGTTCAGATGGTCCAGCCTATGTGAGGTCACCTCTTTTTTATGGTTTATAGACAAGCCATTATGTGCAGAACATATTTGGAAAATTTTTGTTTTGAACCTTGTCCCATACCTGATAGTGTTGGTTTTATTATTTTTCTATGATGGAGAAAGTGCTTTATAAGAAATTATTGGAAATAATTGGAGAAAATATATGCACACAGATATGTATATATACACATTGTGTTTATAAATATATCCACAGGTATCTAAACATTCAGTAGTACATCTGACTTTTGTTATTTTTAAAGAAATTATAGCTCTAGGAAATACCATAATGAATGTGAATGCAGAAAAGGTTATAAGTTCATTCTTCATCTGTTAAATATTTCAGACTTACTATCATTAACTACTGGGATTTGTACACATGCTGTGACGTGAGTTAGCCAATGGTGTATTTCCTGTCATCTCAGATTGTTGATAACAGTTAACATGGGTCATAAGCTGCTTTTAAAGCAGGAATTTTCCTTTTCTCTTAAAACAGTTGTGATAGTATATAATACAAATTTCCCTGACTTGTCTCCCAAAAGGAAAATTTCCATGTGAGTTTTTAATGGAATCAATTGACAAACTCTTCATTGGCCACTGTCTTTGACATTGTCAGTACCTATAACTAATACAACTAGAGATTTAATACTTCCATCTCTCTTGGTGTCTTGACAATGCCTACAACTACAGTTGTAAACACTACCTTCTCTCTTGAAGCACTGCCTGATACCATTCTCCTTTCTGTTATTCTGTTATATTCTGTCCTGTGCTTACCTCTCACCTCTTGAAGGTCTTGGCCTCTCTCCTTCTCCAAGTCCCTTTCCTAAACAACACTCATGTGCAGTATGCACAACCGAATGTTATCATCTGCTGGACTCTTAGCTCCCTTGGGTGCAGTACAGAAAGCAAATGCCTCATAGCAAATGAGACCCTAGACCCATCCATTGTTAATGATTTAAAAAAAAATTGTGTGCTAGAAAGGAGTGATTGTGAGTTCTCCACCCAGTGTGCTGGGAGGCCAGTTTTGGCTTTCTCACTCAGCTCCATGAGCTGGGCCAGGTTAGTTAACCTGCATGTCAGTATCTTTTACTACTAAAATAAGTTCTTGGAAGCATTAAACTCCATCTAGCCTGAGATGCATATGGTGTCACCACCAAAACATAGGTTGTTATTTTTTCTTTTAAAAATATTTCAAGGGCTGGAAAGGTGGCTCAGTGGTAGAGTGCTTGCCTTGCATGCATGAGGCCCTGCGTTCGATTCCTTAGCACCACATAAGCAGAAAAAGTCGAAAGTGGCGCTGTGGCTCAAGTGGTAGAGCGCTAGCCTTGAGCTGAAGAGCTGAGGGACAGAGCCCAGGCCCAGATTTCAGGCCGCATGACTGACCAAAAAAAATAAATAAAATTTTGAATTAGCATACATTAATAATATAAGAGGTTTCCTCATATATGCATATATACATACACATATACACAGAGTACTTTATCTTTACCCTCAGTACCTTTTCCTTTTCTCCTCCTCCTATCGACTCCCTCCTCAGCAGATCCCCTTTTCATTTATGTTCTGTTATTAGTGGTTAGCAGCAACAGCACCATGTCATTCTATGTAAGTGTGCATGCGTGCTTATGTATGTGTTTGTACTAGTCCCAGAGCTTGAACTCAGGGCCTGAGTGCTGTCCCTGAACTTCTTTTGCTCACGGCTAGCAGTCCAACATTTGAGCCATAGCTCCACTCTGGGCTTTTTGGGAGGTAGTTTTTTGGAGAGTTTTACGGACTTTCCTGCCTTTGAACTGCAATCCTCAGATCTCAGCTTCCTGAGCAGCCAGGATTACAGATGTGAGGTGCCAGCACCCAGCAACCAGTCATTGTTTGAACACACAGCTATTTGCTAGGAATGTTCACTCTCTCCCCACCTTCAACCACAATTTTCTGTTACATCTTCAGGATAAGTTTACCTAACCTTCCTGTGAAGCTTTCTCCCTTTGTCATTAATGTCTATCTGACTCTTTCTCTCTTCTTTTTTCTTTTTTCCTACGAAAGACCAGGAATATCTATGTGAGATAAAATGAAATATGTGAGGTTAGAATCTCCATTTATGTAGATTACTAGATGAAGGATTTCTGATCATGAAGGTGTTGCAGAATAGAAGAGCCATTCACTTACCTGAAGGTGCTATCTGTGTGCTGTTTTCACATTGAGCAAAAACAATACAAAAACTGTCTCTGTTGTGATTTTGTTACCCTAGTATGGTGGACACTTTGTGGAACAAATAAGCAGGTATCTTGGTACAGTAAGTGGATCTGTGGTAGTTTTGTTTTATTGGTACTGGGATTTGTACTTCAGGCCTTGTACTTGTAGGCAGGCACTTGAGCCACAACTCCATCCTTTTTTTTTTTTTTGCTTTATTTTTCCAATCGGGTCTGGACATTGATCTTTTAATTATATTCATTGCATAAATGAGATGACAGGCGTGTGTGCCACCATACCCAGCATTTTTTATTGGTTGAGATGGGGTCTTGTGAACTTTTAGCCAGGGCTGGCCTCCAACTGCAATCTTTCTGAACTTAGTCTGTTCTCCCCACTCAACCCCTATCTACCCCCAAGTAGCTAGTGTTACAGTTGTAAGCCATTGCACCCAACTGGATCTGTGGTTTTTATAAAACCTTACATTAAGAGGTTACCACTGTGCTTACAGAGGGAATATGGTATGCTGATACAATCTTGCCATACAGCAGTGGAAGTGAGCTCCCAGCTTTCTCCAGAAACAGTGGAGGATTTAAAGTCTCTATGCTTTGTTAGTGGACCAGTACCTGTCTATATCTACCTACTAGGCTGCTAAACAAAATCCTGAAAGGATTTCAGCCTGTTTCAGTGCTTGAGGGTTTTTGTTAAATTTTTTTTAAGAACTTGGTGTCAGTTTGTTAATTACAGAAAAGAAGTTTGAAGAATATCTCGTGTGCAGTTTGTCATATAAATGGATAAAATTGGCTTTGTTTTTCTACCTACAGATTTCAATGAGGATTTGACTGCTTAAGAATTTAAAGATTTAAACAATGGAAATTTCCAAAATTATCTTCCAAACAATAGCATAACCTTGAGCATTGGTGTTGGCCCCATATTATTTCCTGTTTGAATTGAATGACAATTTCCAGCTTTATATAGCAGTGCTAGTATTAAGTGATTTTCTAGTAAAATAATTTTGCACATATAATATGCTTTACCTCTAAATCCTACTTGTATATTTAGCAATTAAAATTATTCTTGTAATAATGATGGCATTAGAAGGGGTAGGGAACTATCAAGGAGAATTTGAAGCTTAATTATCTCTTTGGTAATGAAATGCATAATCTTCCATTACAACACTTATTTTCTTATGGTAATTGGCTCATTTATTCTATAGTTATCAATTTAACTTCCCAACCAAAAACATCTGTTCTTACATTGCATTTAATTGGTGTGAATACCATCTACAAAGTAGTTAAAATCTATAGAACATTTTAAGGGCATGTTTTACAATTCATGAAAAGGAAAAGTAAATGCTGAATTGAACATTGTTTATGATTTTTTTTCTAATAGTCTTTGGAAGTCTGTTTACTAAAAGTGTATAGTAAAATTATAGTAATTTGATTTTTTTTAAAAAAGAGGACTGTAGCTGGGTGCTAGCACCCACTAGCACCCAGTGGCTCATGCCTATAATCCTAGCTACTCAGAAGGCTGAGATCTTAGGAACCCAGACAGGAAAGTCTGTGGGACTTTCATCTCTAATTATCCAAAAATCCAGAAGTAGAGCTGTTGCTCAAGTGGTAGATCATTAGCCTTGAACAAAAAAATCTCAGGGACACCAACCAGGCCCTGAGTTCAAACCCAAGGACACCCCTTCCCATTGTTTGTTTTCTAGAGTTACTTTACTCTGCCTCAGGGAGAGGAACTTTAGTCCTAGGGGGTTAAAGAATATTCCAGTTAGAACTGTTACAGTTAGAAATACAGGCTTTGAAAGGAGGGGGAAAAATCACCCAAGGAAGAAAGATGGGGACAAGTTGGGGTAGAGGGAGGAGGTTGTTCATAATTTTAAAAGTGGAAGGGTGGGCCAAGTGCCATTGGCTCTTGCCTGTAATCCTAGCTACTCGGGAGGCTGAGATCTGAGGATTGCTGTTCAAAGCCAGACCAGGCAGGAAAGTCCGTGAAACTCTTACCGCCAATAAACTACCAGAAAACCAGAAGTGGTGCCGTGGCTTAAGTGGTAGAGCACTAGCCTTGAGCTGAAGAGTTCAGGGACTGCGCTGAGGCCCAGAGTTCAAGCCCCACAACTGACCAAAAAAAAGTAGAAGGATAAATCATAACAATTTAAAAAAATTGTTATAGTGGAAAAGGAAGAAGACAAGATACAGGGTTGAAAGCTAGACTTGTTTGAATATACCTTGCTATTGTAGATTTAAACTTCAACTTTTTTTTTTTGGCAGTACTTGGGTTTTAATTTAGGACCTAGAGTTTGCTAGGCAGGCACTCTCTTGCTGAGCTTCACATCTTTTTAACCAAATAACTTCTTAAAGTAGAAAGTAAAATAAGTGGTCCTAAACGCATATATAGTTGCTTGTCGAGCCACATAGAAATTCCAATTCAGATTGAAGTTTGGAGTAGTAATTGCACTGCTTACACCTAATAGGATATCCTCTAAGGACAAAGGAACAGCAGGGATCTTCAGTTTTTTTCCTGTTATATTGTCATTGGAAATTTTATTCTGAGACCAAGGAGGTGTAAGATGAAGCAAATGAGTAAATATGGTAGTGTCATTGAGAACAGGGATTTTTCATAGGAAAGAAATGACATAAATTACTTTTATACTTTCCCTGCTCCCATACTACCAGAATATTCACTTATATTTCCTTTCCATGTCTCTTTCAAACAGTCTTGTCTTTTAGAAGTAACACATTTATTTATTTTTTTGGTCTTGAGGTCTGAACTCAGGGCCTGTGCACTGTCCCTGAGTCTTTTGCTCAAGGCTAGTGCTGGACTGCTCTGAGCCACAGGCCATTTTCAGTTTTCTATTGATTAATTGGAGATAAGAGTCTCACAGACTTTCCTGCCTGGGCTGGCTTTGAGCCATGATCCTCAGACCTCAGCCTCCCAAGTAGCTTGGATTACAGGGGTGAGCCACCAGTGCCTAGTGATGTTTATGTTTTTCTAAATGTCAACTTCAGTAGTCCAATAAGAGTAACTGGTTTGAAATTTTTTTTGTTAAGTCCTGTGCCCTTCCAGGGAGTTTTATTTGTGAATACTAGTTTTGTAAAACCAAGGTTTCAATTAGCTCCTGTCCTAAAATAGGAACTCAACTTACTTGTAAGTACACTAAGATCTTTCAACTCTGTAACTTTCTGATTTAAGTTTTTAATCTAGGAATGTTTCCACTTGCTACTGCTTAGATCCCATAGGAGTCCTACTATCTAGTATTGTTACAGCAGTTCCACTTTTCACACAAGCCTGCTAGTGTCCAAGAGGCAACATAGCACCAGAGGGTGATGCAGCTTTGTCAGTGACTAGGATTTGAAGCCATGCAGTAAACTACAAAATGTATATCCTTTCCTAAAACATTTAATAGAAAAGAATGACATTCCCCATGTAATTGAAGTAGCTTCACCAATTATCAATTCAGTATCAATATTGATTTATCTGTACCCTAATCCATCTCATCCCAACCCCACATAGATTATTTTGAAAGCAAAGTTCAAGAATCCAAGAATGATATTTTTTCATATATATGTATATATATATATACACACACACATACATAATGATATTTAACTACCTCTAAACATAACTGTGATACCATCATATTGATATTTGTAAAAATTTCCTAATATCAATTACTCCTTCAGTCAGTATCCACTAATTAGCTTATGTTTTAATTTTTTACTTTTGAATTGGATAACCAAGGTATCTTCACAAATAATTTTGTTTCTTTTTTGTTTAAGACAAGGTCTTGCTACCACGTTAGCCTCAAACTTGAAATCCTCCTGTCTCAGCCTCCTAAAAGCTAACATTACAAACATACACACTACTTCCGTTTATTTCTTAATTTTCTTTTACTCCTCAGGCTTCTCCTTTATCTTTTATGATTGTTTGCAGTTTGTTAGGAACCACGCCCTTTACCCTGTCTGGTCTCCTGCATTGTCTCTTGCTAACTGCGTTGCCACGTACAATTTTCAATATATGCAATGCAGTCAGCTCAGTTTTCATGCTACCTTCATAATCAGATCCAGGTGCTTCTATCAGGAGGTTCATAAGTGACTGACGCTCTTTTTGTGAGGGAATAGCCTTTGATAATCATTGCCCATAGTAATTGCAAAGTAATAGTGTTCCTAATCTGTTATTCTCTTTCCCAATTAATTGTTAGGATAACCCCTCAGTTATCTGGCTAGTCTAAATAAAGTGCTGTTCTTACTCAAGAGCAGGATAAATGCTTGACTCTCCCTTTGAGTTTTCAGAATGGGGTGCTAATTGAGAAGCTTCTCCTAAGATGCCCATTGTGGTTCTTTTCTTTTTAAAGCATTTTCTTTTAAAATACATTTGGTTTGTTTCAGTTCACTGAAGTTATCATTATGATGATTGTAGAACTGTCCTATCTTTGAGCAGTAGAGGAAGTCTGGGACTGATAGAGTCTCCCAAGTCTTGCTTGACATGACCCTACTATTGGTCTTCAGTATTTTCTGGTTACTGTTTGAAGGCGCTTATTGTGGACAAAGTCAGCAATTATTTGCTTTTTAAATATAAACTTTATCATGATTTTCTACTAGTATTTCCAATTAAATTCAAAACTGGAGTACTGGAGCTTGAACTCTAGGCTTCTTACACTTACTCAGCTTTTTTTTGCTAAAGGCTGACACTCTGACTTGAGTCATACCTCCACTTCTCTTGCCTTTTGCTGGTTAATTGCAAGTAAGAGTCTCAGATTTGTCTGCCTAAGCAGGCTCTGAAGCAGGATTCTTACCTCTTAGCCTCTTGAGTAGCTAAGATGATAGATGTGAGCAACTGGTTCGCAGCAAAACTTTGTTTTAACTGCATCTTCTTAACTTCTGTATCTCAATTCTATGACTTAAAAAAATTGGTTCATGTATGAATAGCTACCTATCTTGACTTTCACTGTCTTAATTTTCTTTCTATTTTAAAGCCCAACCTGAATTTCTAAAACAACCTGCTAATATATATGCTCATGAGTCCATGGATATTATATTTGAGTGTGAAGTAACTGGGAAGCCAACTCCAACTGTGAAATGGGTCAAGAATGGGGACATGGTCATCCCAAGTGATTACTTCAAAATTGTAGTAAGTATCTTTCAAAGAAATGAATTTATTTATTTATTTAATTTCTTTATTGTTGGTCATGGGGCTTGAACTCTAGGCCTGGGCGCTGTTCCTCAGCTCTTCAGCTCAAGGCAAGTGCTCTGCCACTTGAGCTACAGTTCCACTTCCAGTTTTCTGGTGGTTTATTGGAGATAAGAATCTCATGGACTTTCCTACCTGGGCTCACTTTGAACCTCAATCTTCAGATCTCAGCCTCCTGAGTAGGATTACAGGCATGAGCCACCAGTGGTGAAATGCATTTATTTTTGAAGCCTTCAATGAATTTTTTTAAAATTATAATCACCAAAAGCTTTATTCTGTAAATACCAACTTAAGCACCATATATGAAAAGTAGAAAAATCTCTACAGTGTAATTTCTTTATTGACTGATGAGAAAGCTCAGCCCAGAAATGTTTTGGTAGTAATGCTTGGTCACATGGCAGATCGGTGGCTGAACTGTGCTGAGTCTACCAGCTATCTGGTACTCTTAAACGCAGGTGGCACCATTTCCTGGAAGTAGTGTGATCATGTATATGAGCAATCCCAATTGTCTATGTAGCTCTCTGTTCATGGAGCAGAAAGCTTTCCCTTAAAATGTGGAAAGGTGATCTTTTTGAAAAACATACCAATTATACAGCATACAAGTCAGATTCTAATTTCTAGACTCTTCAAAATAAGGTTACCCAGTATCAGAGAGCCATAACAATAAATAAACAAAAACAGTAAATTCATTACTATGTCCTGCCTCATTAATGTGTATAATTTGTATGTTTTTATGTGTCACAGTAAAAAATGAGATATGCTGTCACATCCCTACTATTTCAGCACCCAGGAATGTGTGGCAGGAAATTAGTGAGTTCAGGGTCAGCCTAGGCTATGTAGCAAGACCCTGTCTCTCTCACATACAACAGAAAAAGGAAATGCAAAAAAATTGTTAAATATATCTAAGACTTCTCAGTCACAATACCTTTTATCTAATATTATCATAATCTAGCACCCTCGTAAATAGAATTATCTGATCTTTAATAGCAAGTCTTGATGATATACTTTAAGGTCTGAATATGATCCTCATGAAGGTTAGATGTAATTATGATTGTTAAAGACTTAATCTCTTTACAAATTTGCCATAGAAGTAATACATTCCTATTTTCTATTTTGAAATGCATAATATCATGTTACTAAAATTCATGCTGAGTGCAGTGGCTCAGGCCTATAATTCTAGCTGTTCAGGAGGCAGCAGAGATCAGAATTGCAGTGCGAGACCAGCCTGGGCAGAGACTTGGTGTTACCCCATCTCAACCAATAAAAGCTGGATGTGGTGGTTCACACCTTTCATCCCAACTGTACCAGAAGCATAAATAGGATTACAGTCTAGGCTTGCTCAAGCATAAAGACAAGTTCCCATTTTAAAAATAACTAAAGGAAAAAGAGCTGAAGCATGGCCGCCACTGGACGTGGTAAAGCCTAGTAATTGTGAGGCCCTAAGTTCAGGCCCCAGCATTGCTACAAAACAACCCACCTAATTCATAAATACTTAATATTAAAAAACAACCTGTTATTTTTTTTGTCAAACTTGCATACTTCTTTAACATTTTTTAAACTTATTTCACCAATAATAATAGTTGGCATTCATGTAGTACTTTGTTTTTTGTTTTGAAAAATCAGGTGTGTACCCTGACTTATTGTGGTTTAATCCGTTAAAACCATTGATGTTATAAATAATGTTAGGAAAATAATGCCTGTGTTTACAAATCCAGGCTTTATAGTGCTTGCCAGATATTTTTCCAATAAAAGTATAAGGTTAAAACAGGGAGGCTGTGCCTTTTCCTCGTTTGTGATGGTATTATTCTAGTCACTTAGGTGACTAGAACAGGCACTTAAGTGCCTGGCCAGTACTCTAATAAAAAATTGAGATAACAGGTATATAGGTAGATAGGATTCAACAATTGAATCATAAAATGACTTGCCTTTCCTCCCACAAAAGAACATACCCTTGAGATTTTTAACTCCTATTTGTCAACCATTTTAAATGATAACATTTTGTATATGTTTTTCTTCCTTAGAAGGAACATAATCTTCAAGTTTTGGGTCTGGTGAAATCAGACGAAGGGTTTTATCAGTGCATTGCTGAGAATGATGTTGGAAATGCGCAGGCTGGAGCCCAGCTCATAATCCTTGAACATGGTAAGAGGCTGAGACAGTAAGAGGAAGGCAGCTTAGCCATGTGGCACTGTGGCACCAGGAGACCTCATGATTGTTTATTTGGAATGCCCAGTACGTGGAATAACTAAGAGAAAAGAAATAGCATCTTTGTCACTTAGAATTACCTAGACACATTTTCCAGATGATGTTGGAAAGAAATGGACAACAAGAAAAAGTAAACAGTAAAAGTAAACAATACAAGTAAACAATATAAGAGCCCTACCCAAATGATTTTTTTTCCAGAATCCATTCTTTTTTTTGCCCGTCCTGGGGCTTGAACTCTGGGTTTGGGCACTGTATGTAAGCTCCTTTTTGCTCAAGGCTAACGCTCTTCTACTAAATATAAAAGAAAATACAGAGGAAAAAATTGGTTACTTAGGAATGTACCTTAGCTAAATTAAAGATTAAGTTAAAAGGAAGATGTTGCAAGAGTTACTTTAAATTATTTAAGAATGTGACAATAATACAGGCAAGTGATGTTAGCTAGCCTGAGCTATATAGTGAATTATTCTAGGCCAGCATAGGCCACATAGAAAAACAAAACAAATGAAAAAGAAATTATTGCTACAGTATGTTAAAAGTAGTAAAGCTTAAAAGAAAATAGCTGTGATTTTTTTTTTGAACCATTAACTTTTTATTGTTAGTGGAAGTTAAAAATAGATTCAGGGGCTTGGGAAGGTGGCTCAGTGGTAGAGTGGTTGCCTCTCATGCATGAGGCCCTGGGTTCGATTCCGCAGCACCACATAAGCAGAAAAAGCTGGAAGTGGCACTATGGCTCAAGTAGTACAGCGCTGGCCTTGAGCTGAAGAGCTGAGGGACAGCGCCCAGGCCCAGAGTTCAAGCCCCATGACCGACAAAAAAAAAAAAAATTATTATGTAAGGTTGGAATGTAAAAACAGTAATATGCTATTTTATGTATGTCATTTGATACCAACTCTGATCAATGGCAGTTTTATCTAGTTTCAGCAAGGAAAGAAGGGTTGATGAAAAGGGAGTAGCATGGACTTGTTTTCAGTAAAGGAAATTCACAGTTTCCCCGCCCATTAATGACTTCTAGGATATTGTGTCCAAAACAGATAAGGATTCATATTGAACATCACTTTTTTCTTTTTGACAGAAAAATTTGTCAAAAATTCCATATAGTATCTGAGGTTATAGTGCATAACAGAAGTTCTAGAATGAGTGACTAATGATCTGGCACCACTACAAGTTTGGCTTGGGACCAGGGAATTGTTAGTCATTAATGGAATATTTTAAATCTGAAGCATTAAAATATGCAGTAGTTGGTGTTAATCAAAATATAAATTCAAATCAGTTACTTTGCTTTTTTATGACTGTAACTTTAGGAAACATTGTTCTCAAGATAACTCATACAATTTGACTTCCTAATCATGAATTCCACATCTAGGAATGCCCAAGATTGAAAAAGTATCTGAGGGCTTAGAATATGGCTCAAGTTATAGAGCTCCCACCTAGTAAGCAAGAGACCCTGAGTTCAAATGCCTGAGCTGCCCAAAACAAAGCAATGTCAGTATTCTGCTGTTAACTTACTGATTGGATCAGGTCCTGAAAGCTTGTTTTTTTGTTTTTGGAGTTTTGTTTTTTTGTTTTTTAAATTTTCTGCAAAATGAAGGAATCACATGATCTGTCAGATTCCTTATCACTCTAAACACTCCATTAAATGAAGTTTTTTTAGAAATACCAACTGTATTTTAGTACACTTTTTCTAAGATACTGAAATAGCTCTGTTAATGGTGGATAGATTGGAGAGTTTCCAGTTAACAAGGCCGTATGTAGCGCGTATAATGAAACAGCTTTGGTGCTGGCTTGCATTCACTTGCTGGAATTCCTGCTGGATTGTGTTTATTCATGTCTTGTTCCCACTGTGAATAGCTAAAAACCCCTCTGAACATCACTTTCCCTATCTCTAAAGTATAAACAGTTTGTGCACAGGACACTTCTGAGGGATAAAAAGAATAATGGTAAGTACCCTTTTAGGTAATAGTAATTTGAAAGAACACACAGACAAAGCACTCAAAGGAATTCAGTAGTCAGCAGGGCACTGGTGGCTCGTGCCTGTAATCCTAGCTACTCAGGAGACTGAGATTTGAGGATCACAGTTCCAAGTCAGCTAGGGCAAGAAAGTCCAACTAACCACCAGAAAACCAGAAGTGGTAATATGGCTCAAAGTGGTGGAGCACTGGACTTGAGCAAAAATTGCCCAGGAGCAGAACTCAGGCCCTGGGTTCAAGCTCCAAGTCTGACAAAAAAAAATATAATAAAAAGATTAACTTCATGAAGTAAACACGAGGAATTTTTTTAAAAGTATGCAACAAAAATTCACTTAATGTTCATGTAAACTACTTAAATTTGCAAAGCAAAATTATCTTTTGTGACCAGATTGCAAGGCATCTGATATGGTCTGGCAAAAACTATATTTGCACTAAAATATTTTCAAATAAACATAACACATGTTCATTGTCCAAATTAAGAATGCATAACTGAGTGATAGAAAAGTAAACTTTTTAATTCTTCCTCTGTCAGTGTTAACCCATTTTGTCTATGTATTTATTCATTCAGTAACCATAGATGGAACAGAATTCTGTAAACTTGTGGCTTTATTATGCTGTGTTGGGGTTGAACTCAGCCAGCAATCAGAAGTTGCTCTGCCTTAATAGAGCTTATATTTTATTACTGTGGACAGACAAGCAAATAAAGTGTAAAGAAAATAATACAACTCTTACAGCTACTTAGAGGAAATGAAAAATTGCTTGATAAAGAACTATTGGGGGTAAAGTGCAAGTTATTTTAAATAAAGCAAACAGGGCTTTGCTCAAGTGATGATATTAAGGTTGAAACCTAGAAAATTAGGTGAAATCTGTGTTTGTTTTCCATACATATAAACACAATCATGCACAAACTATTTTATTGTGCTTTCTTGGCAGGTACTTCAGCTGTTTGTTGGTTTGTTTTTGGTGCTTGGTGTTTTTTTGGGGGTGGTTTTGTTGTTGCTTTAGTTGTTTCTCAGATATAATCTTAGGTTTTTGTCCAGGGCTGGCCTTAGACTGCAGTCTTCCGACTATACCTTCTGTATAGCTGTGGTTACCAGCATGGGCTACCATGCCCAGCTGTATATGCATAAATTTTATTTGCAGAAGTAACATTTGTTGATGGTTTCACATTAGCTAACATTTTGTGGACTTATCAGTACTTACAGGTTTATCTTACTTATATTTACTATCATCCATCAGATTAGACAATGAGGAGATATGTTTTTAAGAAGTTTGAACTCAGGGCCTGGGTGCTGTTCCTGGGCTTTTTGCTCACAGCTAGCACTGCCACTTGAGCTACAGATCCACTTGGGCTTTATAGTGATTTTAGTAGATAACAATCTCACTAGGCATGAGGTACTGGCTCCTGGCTTGTTTTTTTGAGTTCTTAGTAGCAGTGTAACTTTTTTTTAGAATGTAGTTTCAGAATAATTTAACATGAACTGGGGGCAGCAGTGCATGCTGATGTCTGTGTAGTCTGTTTCTGTTTGTAATACATAGACACACACACAAACACACATATATATATACATATAATATATATACACACACATATATATTCTTGTCTGTACAATATAGTTCTACCAGGCTGCACAACCATCTGTGAAGAGTAATTACATCTGAAGATCAGGAGGAAAGGACAAAACCAGCATGTTGTCAATTTTTAGAAGGCCAAGTAAAAACTATTAGAAATTAAATTTGAAATATTTAAATCTACACCTGAAGGTTTCTACTTTGTTCGGGGTATTTTCAAATTTTATTTCATGGAACAAAGCGCTGTGTGAGAAAAACATAGGCTAGAGTATTTGGCAGCTATCCAAATGCAATGTATTTGCACATTTTCTTCTGGATGATGAATTATCTCACACAAGTGCTAAGAGGGTTTAGTATAGTTTACTAAAATATTAAAAACAAATTTGTTAGGCCAATTATTTTATTGAGTACGTGTTCTGAATAGAAATGCACAGTTATCTACCAGGGATCCTACCATATAGGCTGTGAGGGGAGATGATGTGAAATCACTAGGTAGAGTAGACCTTAGAGAGCTGAGTGGTTAATTCGGAAAATCAATTAACTTGTCAGCTGATATCTAGGTTTTACATTTCAAATTTCACTGTACTGCTTTAGCAAATTTTAGTGTTTTCAAGACAAATCATGTTCTGTTTTCTGTACACTTTCTCTCAAGTTCAGTCTTGTAAGTCAGTATTGAGATGGACTTATAGAAATATGGTTTTGATAAGATGACCTTGGATAGACTGAGTTTGAGACTACCTTGTGTCTGTCATTCCAGGAAAATTACCAAAACTACTTTCTGTCACTCTTAGAACTATTGGGGCATGGCAGTGTTTTGCATGGTCACCCAGTTGTTCCCAGTTGATTGAATCTGAAAGGTTCTCCGTAATGCCAAGGTAGAAACTGTTGATGCAAATAATTGTCATACATGCTGTTTAGAATGCCATCGTGCTGCTCTCATTATGAATAGGAAGAAATTATTTCTGTCAAAGTTGACCTGCAAGGAAACCATTTATAAAATGGCATTTGAGCTAAGCTTAGTTTTACCAATATTGAGGCAAGTATCAATATAGTAATGTAGGTTGGAAAGATGCATGTAAACCAGGTTGGTTTTTTGTTGAGCAGTTGGAAACTTCAGGTATGTGAGGAAATCACACTTTAAGATTAGTGTATTGGTGGCTCACACCTGTAATCCTAGCTACTCAGGAAGTAGAGATATAAGGACCATGGTTCTAAGCCAATCCAGGCAGAAAAGTTCCTATAAGACTCTTATCTCTAATTAACCACTCAAAAACCGGAAGTGATGCTGTGGCTCAAGTGGTAGAGTGCTAGCCTTGAGCACAGAGAGGCTCAGCGACAGCACACAGGCCCTGAGTTCCAGCCCCACAACCAACAACAACAAAAAAAAGATTAGTGTAC